GAGATTATTTACAGAGTTTTATTGGTGTTATTTAATTTTAACAATTTATATAGGTATATTCTTTTATTTTTATAAAGTTTAACATACTAGAATCATTTTTTAAACAATGCGTGGCACTAAAAATATTTAAAATTTAATATTAAAAATTCTCTCAGTTAAGTTAAAAAATATTTAATTAGATACGAGAATTCTATTTTTTGGGGTCACGCTTGTTATTTTTTCACAAAATTATTTTTTAAGAAATCAGCAAGGGATATGCACAAATTTTTTTGCTTACAATACTCAAAAATATTTTTTAGAAATAATTAAACTAAAATTATTACTAGCTAATTTTTTTAGTCTAAATTCACAGGAGATTGAAGAGAAGATAATATTTAATTATATAAATAGTTTTTATTCAATTTTTGAGTTTGTAAGATTTTTTTATTGTGCTCATTCCTTGCGTGCTCTACAAAAATCGCGAAAGAAATTTTTATTTAATTTAAAAATTTATTTACAATTTTTCATCATCTTTTTGATCTTTATTTAAATATTTTTTTCCTTTCACTCCTAAAATAATTTTTGTTATTTTCAGCCTTTGACCAATCTATGTACATCCTCCTTTTTATTTTATAAAATTTTAAATTACTATTATTAATCTTTATGGTTTTTGTTAATTTTTACTCTGAATATTTTTGGGTGGTCCTCTAACATTGGGAAAAATTTGCAAAAATTCCAACAAACTAAATTTACTAAATTATTCTTAAATTCCTTTATAATTTTTAAAATTAATTAAAATTATTCTAATTTTTTTAGTTTTAGAGATATTTAGTATGTTGATTTAAAATTAGTAGTATTATATAATTTTTCATTGGATAAATTGTTTATTTTTAAAATTTGTTTTGTATTAATTTAAAATTCAAGTTAAAATTATATTTAGAATTTAGGTAATAGTAAAAAATTAAAGAAAATTTTGACAATATTTGAATAACAAATAAAGTGGGGATAAAAGTTATATTATTTCATTGCCTAAATGCTACCTACCCCTACACCTCATAAGCTAAAATCTTTAGTCGAAAAGGTGTATCTTATGGTTCAACTTAATATCGAGCAATTTTCTTAGCTTTTTCGATGAATTTTCAAGTTTAAAATTCAAAGTACAAAATTTTAATAAGATTTGATAAAACGGTAATTTTATGCTATTTTAATGAAATTATTTAAATGATATCCTGATCCAGAACCAAAATTTTTATCAAAGTAATTATGATTCTTCGTTACGGAGTGTCACGGAATAATTTTCTGGGCGAATATTTGTATTCATTGCAGAATGAAGGAAGTTCTTTTAAAATCTTTTCTACGCATAAACTAGACTAGAGCCAAAAATTGTCTTGAGTCTTGTTAATTTTTGGTTTTGAAGTTAAATCTTGGTCTTGGGGTCTAGTCTTGGTTTAATGAAACATAACTTCGTCTAAAGTTGTTGAAACAATAATTTTGATACCATTCGACTTGGGGCGACTAAGCACGAAATCGATGAATTCTCAGGGCCCATGTCAATCCAAGGAACGGTAGGCTTCCTCCTATTATATCAGGGCCTCCTCCTATTAGCGTCGCAGACGAGATCAATTCATAAATTAAATAACCATAAATTTTTAGAAATAAAGCTCCCAAATAGAGCCAAATTTTTAAAATCCAGTACCAACCCTTTATTTTCTTTTTGAAAAAATGAGAGAACCTCAGACTAACCTTGGTACTTCCGGATTAAATTTTGGAATATGAGATGAAAGCTTGAGTGTTTACTTCCTTTAATTCTGTCTTAATTAATATTTTTATTATTTTGTCTGTTCATGTGTATGCACTTTTATTTTAATTTAAATAAATAAAAATTTGTCAGAATTATTTAAATTAATTAACATGATTCCATGCCTTTTTATTAACCTGTCAAGGACAGATTTTAATTTGTCCAGGATGATTAAAATCGAAATCGAGTAAATAAATATTTTAAATTCGAGACTTTTTTGGGCAAGTAATTTTTTAATTATTTCAAATTTTAATAATTAATTATGGCATAAACTGTATTGCTTTAAATTCGATTTTCACTATTATAATTTACAATATTTAATAAGAAAATTTGAAAACAATATTTAAGATTATTTCCCAATCTACAGGAAAGCCCGTAAATTTAGGTTACGTTTTTTTAATATTTTTAGTAAATTTAAGTGTAAAGCTTATAGCCATTTAATTCCTAGGGCTGTTCAGTCTGCTGCGTGTTGTAATGGATAACACATCAGTCCGGTCTACTGAAGATGCTGGTTCGCACTCAGCCGCCGATTAACCTTCTGAACTAGCTGAAAGAAAGAAATAGCTATAGCCCAGCTAATTTACTTAAGTTATGTTTCATTAGGTGAAGAAGATGACTATCCCCAATGGATTAACTTCTTCATCTCCATATTTTTATAGTAATTTAAATTTAATAAATTTTTTTAAATAACAAATATCATTTTAGCTTCAACTCTATTTATTTATCTTTATTTTATAAATAATTTCTTATTTTTAAAATATTATTTAATAATAATTTAATTTAAATAACTCGAGAATTATTCAAAATCGGGAAATATATTTCTCGAAAAATATTTTTATAAATTTTCAGTGGGGATGCCCTTTGAAATAAAAATATTTCTCAATTATTAAAGTGCACTTGGACTTAAAAAGAGCAATCCCTCTTATATATAAATTGTTATAAATTAATTAAAATATTAATTTATTAATTAAAAATAATTTAAAAATAATTAAATTTAAATTAAAAAATGTTTATTTTTTTCTTTAATTTATTTATTATTTTTATTTATTTTAATTTTCTTGAATGTTCTTCAACGTCTATCAACAATTCTTTATCTGAATTCTCAATTAATTCAGAAAAATTAATTAAATTTAATAAAATAAATAATTTAAAAAATAATAATTTCTTTAATAAATGTTTATTTAATAATTTAAAAACAAAAAATAAAAATTATTATTTAATTCCAAAAATGGAAATAAAAACAGGCAAAATTAAAGAAATTACAAAAGTTGAAGATAAAACTGAAAATAATTTAATTAATTTAATTTATGAAAAATTTGAAGAAAAAATTAAAGAAAATAATAATAAAATATTTTTAAATGAAGTAAATAATAAAGAAATAAATGGAAAATATATTAATGGATTTGATGAAAATAAATTCTTGAAGAATGAAATGGTAGAATTAATTAGTTATATATTTACTATAAGTTATTAGTAATTTGAAGATCCCTCGATATCCTCTGAATTCCCTGACATCCCACAACGTCCACTCAAATCCTCCGATATCCTTCTTAATCTAACCAAATCCTAGGATGGAATATTGTTTTAGAGCCGAAATTTCAACTGTTCGGAGCCAGAGCCAAGATTTGAACAATTTCGCAGCTGGTGCCAGATATACGGATATCCTAAATTTTGGTTTTGATTTAGCCAACCCTAATCTCTGACTTTATTAGATCCTGAGACTTCAAGCACAGATGCCACTGAGACCTAACAACTCCCCAAAAACTTTTAAATTATTTTCTATTTTTTCGATTTTCGAAGATTTTTTTTGTTTCGAGATAACTCTGCTATCCATCTTTTCTTAATTCCTCAATTGTTAAAAGGACAAAAATAGATTAGACATAAGAATAGGGGAACTTTTTTGGTATGGTTTCGCCGTTTTACAGAAACACTTAACTTAATTTAAAAAATAATAAAAAATATTTTTTAAAATATTTATTTACTTTTTAGAATGAGGATTTAATCTTCATAGCCAATGTAATTAATCATCTCGACAAAAAAGTAATTTCAAAAAATATTCAACGTTCTGCTGATCTTTTATTTGCTTTATATCAAAGCTATTATTTAATTAATTTTGCTTCAACAATTTCACAAATTGAAAATATTTTGGATTGTATAGAACAAGCAAATGTTCACCCAACAAATTTACTCAATTATTTTTCAATTAAAGAATTGAAACAAATTTTTTGGAAAATTTTGGGAATAAATAAATATTCAGATAATGTTGAAGAAAAAAGAATTGTTATGACTAAAATAATATTTTCTGATTCATATTCGGGAATTTTGGATATTTTGTCTGTCAGAAAAGAGGAGAAAGCAAAAAATATTTTAAATATTTTGACTGAGGCAAATGAAGGTTTTTTTTGTTTAATTTAAAATTTTAAATTAATTTTTATTTTTAGTTTTGACTCGGGCAAGCAATATTTTGAAGAAAACACAAAATTTTCAGAATTGGGATTGAAAAGCAAAAAAAATTGAAATTTTTTTTAATTATTAAAAAATTTGCTATTCTTTGCTAAATAATTTCCTAATCTGGAAAAATGAGAATTTTTTTCCTTTTCCTTTTATTTTTGTAATTTCAATAACACATCAAGACTATTTTCTAATTTTGATTTTTAAAGTTTTTGTAATAAATGTTTTTAATTATTTGTAGTACCAAAAGTTTATTTTCAGATCGAATTTTTATTTGAAGGGAAAAGAATGATTAGAATTATTGAAGATTTTTATTCGAACCAAATAAAGATTTAAAATAACGATGGAAGAAATATGAGTTCTTGGCTTTCGAAAATTCCCTGACCGGAAAAAATTGCCTAACCCGGCACTTTTTTTCTCAATCATCAAAGTCACCATCGTTGAAGTCCCCATCCAAAATTCCCCATCCCCGGCAAACGCCGATCCCCGACATACCCGACAACGAAAGGTCGGATTGCCACCCTACTCAAATCAACTAAAATTTATAATAACGATGTGAATAAATCTTATCACAAGGCTTTAAAAGCTTAATAAGGTTTTTCTTTCCCGTATTTTTTCTTTAAATTATATTTTAAATTCAATATTTATTTATCATTTCCTCTAATAAAAATTTAAAAAAAATTCAACTAATTCAAAGCTCATTTATTCATTAATTAAAATTATTTTCGATGATATATTTAATTAATTAAATATATTATTTATTTTCTTTCCATTATTCTTTGCAATATTTAATACAATCATTATATGTTCTAAAAAATAAATTATAATTACCTAAATTATTTTAAATATTTACTCGAAATTATTTGCATTTCCCAAAGCTCCATAATAAGTAAATAATAAACAATTATTTACTTCTTTTTTATAAAAAAATCTCTTTAAATTTAAATTAATTATATTTTTATTTTATTTTTAAAATTACTGGAGTGTGTGATCCTTGGAAGGCATAACGTCCAGTATCATACTCCACATTACAAACAATTTCTAAAATTTATTTAATTTTAATTTTTTAATTTTTTTAAACTTTTATTTGCCGGACAGCATTTACTTTCACTACATTCATAATTATCCGGACACTGATCCGAAGGGCATTTAATTACCCTCGCTTCAGAATCAACTGCTGCTCTAACATTCCCCTCACATTTAGCTATTTAAAATAAAAAGTATTTTAAAAAACAAATAAAAATACATACGGACAGGTAGAGCCATTCCGTGCCCTCCTCCCTCGTGAGAACTTTCAACTGTTGGCTCATAATCAGAACAAAAAGCTCTACAATCAGTTATAGAATTAAATTTATTTCCATTTCCTCCACATCCTTTTAGATAAAAAATTTTTTTTAATTTTTAAATTAATCCTCCTAATTTTTACTTACTCATTTTTAATTATCGCTGAAAAAATTCTACTTAATAAGTACCCACTAAGGTTGTCGGATCAGAATATCCGGATCCCGAAAAAAGAGAAATTTTTGAGAAATTTTCGGTTCGGATATTGGATCCGGATATACAAAGATTTCCAACTATTCGATAACCTTATTGCCCACACCTACCAATTATAAAAAATATTTTAAATTTTCGAGATATCTTAACTAAGGTTCAACTGTATTTCCTACCTTGATAAAGGAAAGGTTGGCATCTTTTTGTAATTAAGTCAAAATAAAATCTTTTCTCAGATATAGCTCCACATTCACTATTTCCTCTATCTTTTGCTATATAAAATTATTTGGATTTAAAAAAATTATAATTTAATTTTTATCTACCCAATCCACAAATACTTTTATCAGAAAATGCTGTTGATAAATTAATTTGGTTAATAAATAAAATGGAAAAAGAAGTTAAGAATAATACAAATAAATCAACAGAGTAGACCATTTTATTTAGAATTTTATTTTTGTCTGAAAAATGAAAGGATTAATGAATCTTTGAAATTAATATTTTTGGCAAAATAATTGGAATTTTATTTTTAAAAATTTTTTTATTGGATTGGAAATAATTGTTAAATTTTTTTTATTCTGAAGGATAATAAAAATTAGAGACCGGAACGGGATCGGGACTCGGTCCTGTTTCCCGGTCCTTTTCCCGGCTTTTTTGAAGATGCCGGGATCAAACCTGGATCGGGAATTCTCTCAGGGTTTCCCGTTCCGGGTCCCGGCCGGTTAATTTTCATTTCCCGTTTCCCGATCCCGGTTTCTCCGCTCTCCAGTAAAAACACATTAATTTAAATATATAAGATGTTAACTCAAAGTCAAAAAAATTTATTTTAAATAATTTATTTTTACAAAAAAATTTCTATAAAATAAACAATTGTATAATCGATTCATTCTTTTTTCTAAAAATAATCCAAAAAGAAACAAACTATTTTAAGGTAAAAACGTAAAATGATCGGGAAGAGTTGCGCACAAAAGAAATGAAATATTAGAAATGTTTTTAGAAATAAGAGAAAAAGAACTCTTTTAAATATTTATTTTTAGGTAATTTGTTCGTTCTTTGTAAACGTGTTTAGAAATATTTAAACAAAACTAGAATAATTTTAATTTAATATTTATTTAAAACAATAAATAGAAAGACAAACAAGTTTTGTTTTATTTAGCTATAGTTATATAATAATTAATTAATTAATTATTATATAGAGCATTTAAAAACCAGAAATATTTTATAATGTTTGTATAAAAATAAATTTACAGTATATATTCTATTAATCACCCTCCCTCAATTAATTACCCCACCTCTATTTATTAGTTATTCTCTCCAGCGAAAAGTAAAACAATAATTATCCCTTAAAATAGTTTTAATTAGCCTTCCTAAAATAATCTCTATTAATTACCCCGCCTTTATCAATTAGAGAGATGTCGAAGTAATAATTACCCAGGGTAATTAATAGAGTAAATATATACGGTAAATTAATAAACGGAAATATAATTTTTTATTATTTTATTTTATTAAATAATTTAAGATTTGTATTATATTTGGAGTGTCTTTAATTTTATATTCTGTTTTTAATAATTAAATTAAGTATATACTAAATTTAATTGGAATTATTTAAATAATCAAAATAACTATGAAATTTTTAGTATTTTCTACAAAGAATTATTTGAACATTAAAGTACTTAAAAATATAAAAAAATGTTTGTTTATTGCCAAAACGTAAAGAAAACTTGTTTTAAACTTTTGTAAAAAATGTTTTCAAAAGGATTTTAATGTTTTTCTTCGTTCTTTGATTTTTTAAAGTAATGTTTTTAATTATTTGTGGTAGTACAAGTTTATTTTTTAGATAGCATATTAATTTGAAGGAAAAAGAATGATTAGAATTATTTAAAATTTTTACTTAAATCAAATAAAAATTTAAAATAACGATGCGAATAAATCTTATCACAAAGCCTTAGGAGGTTAATAAGGTTTTTGGTAGGAAAATTTATTTTATTTTTAATAATTTCGAGGAGTATAGAGGGCATTTGTTATATGCATTTCAGTCAAAAATCCTTGCAAATTGAACTTTTTTGCCCTATAGGAGAATTATTTGTTCAAGAAAAAATTTCAAAAGCAGTTGGAAATTTTCAAAAGCAGTTGGAATTTTGTTTAGACTTTGTGTCGCTTTTGTCCATTATTTTTAATTAATATAAGTATTTAATCCAATCATTTATCATAATTAGTTTAAAAATATTAAATCCCAATGTTATGTTTTTAAAACCAAAAATTTTAAATTATATGTTAAATTAATTTTTATCACAATTAAAGCTTCGACCAAATTTCGTTCTTATATTCTTTAAAGAGGTTTATTATCCAAAAATTGTTTAAACATATACAAGGATTCTTGAGGTTTGGATTGGGGAACCTTTATAAAAATTATTAAAAATAATTCTATAGAAATATTTTAAATTAACCATGTGTCCAGCTCCTCTAACTAAATATAAATAAAATGTTAAAAAATAGTTACAAATTTTATTTATTACCTGTCGTGAAAGTTAGTCCATTTACATATTCTGTCGCAAATCCACCAATCTGTCCATTTACAATCCATGGATATTTTGCATTTTTTACCTTTAATTATATTTTTTGGATTAATAAGTAAACAAATTCCGTTAGATAAAGTTTCATATAAAATCGACCGATACACCAGTTGGTGCAGCTCGTACACATGCGGCTCAGACATTTACGGCCCAGACACTTGCGGCTCGCCCCTATTTCGACATTTGCGGCCCCGACCTTTGCGGCTATGAATATTGTGACACCTTTGAGGCTCCCCCTATTGTGACACTTGCGGCCCCGGATGATTGCTTAAAAAACACCACTATACAAAGCGTCTATCTACTCATTCAAAATTAAACAATTTTTAAAGAAAATATTTTCCAACTTTATATCCAAGTTGTTCAGTAAAGCGTTGTCCAAGCAAAAAGTTACAAACAACATCTAAATCACCATAATAAAAAAGCATACGAATATTGGCATTTAAAATTATTTTTGTGAAATTGGCCATTTCGACTAGAAATTATTTAATATTTTTTTAATTTAAAATTTAGATTAACTAGGAGAAGTAGATGTGTAATTATAAAAAACATCATCTGAACATATTTCCCATTTAATATTTAAATTAGACGGAATATGTAATGCTTCTTTTACTAAAATACATTATTTGTTATTTTATAATAAAAAAATTAACCATTAGGCATGTTTAAGTAATGTTCTTCAGCAGAAACTGAATTAAAAATTTTTTTTATTTTTATGGATGTTTATTTTTTAATTTTTTTTGTCTCATAATATTTTTTAAAATTCATAACAGCTTTGGACATTGTTGAAATATTTTTGGGAAATTGGGATTGGGAGGATCCTTTTTAGTCTACATAAAGTTTCGGCCGTTTTTTCCTTATTAGACAGCAAATGTTATGCGTGCATCAGGGGTGTGCCGAAGCAGATTGTAAAAAGAAAGATATATGTCTGGTATAAAATCAGTCATTGACGATCGGTCTTATATGAACGATCGTTATTCATGCCTATCGCCATTCATCCTCATTATTCAAGTATTTCCGTATGTGATAAACATGCTATTCTATTCTTGCATATATTCAGTTATCACAAGCAGAGGTGGGTAGGAATTCCGATTTCCGACTTTTGAGCCAGTTCCGTTTTCAGGCTCTTCCGACTTCCGACACCTCTGACTGTTCCGACCCACCTCTGGTCACAAGGGGTTATCCAAGCATTGCGGAATGATTTTTCTATTAAAAACTGTATTTTGAAAAATCTTAGCGTTGGAGACGAGAATAAACATTTTTATTATTTTTTTCTTACCATCTGTGCATGGGATTGCACCGTAGTATAATGGACGATCCCTTTGAGCAAACTTATTAGCCAAATTTTTTAAATTTAAAATTAAATTCCTAGTTTTAATTTTGTGTCTAAATGCAATTGTTTTGTTTGTTGGCTCTAAATTTAAACAATCAAATAATTAATAAAATATTTCTGTACCACAATCATCATAAAGATCATAAGGATTGACTAGCTTATTATTATAACCAGTATATAAATCCTGTTGCTAAAAGTATTAATAAATTTAGCACGTATGTCAAAATTAAAGCTTTACCATATCTCCACATGTCGAATTATCAGGGATGTTATAAATATCACAACTATCTTTAAAAATTATTATAATTATTAATTTAGAAAACATAAAAAATTCAGGTATGTGCATTAAATTTGGATTTAACTAGACACCGAATGAATACAATTGCAATTCTAAACCTGCAATCTAAACTTTGCTGGACAACAACAAAATTTTGGGTCTATTCCAAATTTAGAATCCACAAGAATCTATAATGAAATATAGTCTCTGTCATGTCCGACTGTTCATGCTGTGGAAAAATTGTGGATGGGAGATGGAATTGAACCATCATGGAATGAGCCCAAACCGAAGCACAACCGACTGTGCCACCATCCAACCCAATGCTGGGTTATTTATTTTCATTTATATTCTTTCTGCAAGTGCGGACTCAACAGTCTCACTTCTCCTAGACTATACATATATCTCTTCTCCTACAACCCCTAAATGTATACAAATATTTTTAAAATTTAACCAATGCAGCCATTACAGCATTGCTTTTGGAATTTCAGCCAGATTTCCTCATCAATCAAACCATGATTATAAAGGTATAAAATTTGTGTATTTGTGTTAAGAGAGTCACTTGCAAGCCCATTTCCAATAGCTACACCCTTTAATAAAATTTATTTCGATTTTATTAAATACCAAAATTATACTTTTAAATTTATTTTTGAATCCTTGATACCTTCCAAAATTTTAACACCAAGCATAGGAATATATACACCAGCATAAGACTCACCAGTAAGATAAAATGGATTTGATTTCAATGAAGGATATTTAGTGAAAAAATCTTTTAAAGCTGCATAGTTTGCTGCAGCAACCTTTAAATAATTTTTTATATAGTGAACGTTTTTTTTCACTAAATATAAGATAACCAATTTCTTAAAGTCAGGAATATCATAAATAGGTGGCATAGTTTAGATTGATCCCTACGGTATTCAAAAAACGAGGGTTATTACCCGGGTTATAGACACCAAGTTGCCCGTAACCCTCTTTTATGAAGGGGGTTTCTCCTCATCGCTAATCTTTAATGATTGCCATAAACATAACAATATCATAATCCTGGATTTATCATATAGTGAGGCAAAAATGTATAGGATTTAAGGCATAAATACCTACCTCCTCGTCACCTGTAGTTACATTTTTAACTTTTGAATTATAAGAAAATCCAACGCACGCAGGGGATTCTAAAAATATAACTGAGGCATATTTATTCCATGAATGAGGATTTTGACGCAGTTTTTTGCCATCTTTGTTGAGTAAATATGGGCCTAATTCATTAAATAAACCACCAAGAGATGAACAGCCAGGACCTCCATTTAACCACAAAACCTTAAGGAATTTTTAGAAAATTTTAGATAATTTTGGATATTAACTAATGGATCAGTTTTTGGATTTCCTTGTGATTCAGCAAAAATATAATAAAATAAATTTCCATTTCCGGCATTCAAATAACCTTAAAATAAAATTAATAAAAAATTATGGGCAATTGAATAATTTGCCTGAATAATGTTTAAAGTTGAGCTGCGCATTTAAGCCTGGTAAAGATTTAATTTCATCGGGGTTATTATTTAGATTCGATACTCCATAAATTAAATTTATTAAAATGGAAAATTGGAGAAGGCATAAAAATATTTTGGGCATTTCAAAATTTCAATAAATTGAAGGAAGTTAAATAATTTTTTAAATTATTATTAGCCAAATTTCTGGTTAGTTTTGCCTTTTATCGAGTTTATTATATATCTAGCTTGACTCTCCTGGCTTTATTGCTCTCCTCTAGGCTCTCCTCTATTCAAGTGATAATCAATACGCATAATTATTTAAATTGTTGGCAAATTTTAGATGATCAAATCCATTATTTTTTTACTTATGAGCTAAAAAAGGAAATGTATTTTAAACGTAGTATGTACATAACTATACAATAAATATATTAAACAAATTAAAATAAAATTTAAATTGCTGAAAAACGTGGAATTTTTAAAATTATTCTTCCCTTTTTTATTTAAGTAACAGCTGATTAAAATTAAATTTGCGTTTAATTTTTAATCATTTTTTAATTTTTAATTGCTTATTAATTTTTAATTAAAATTAAATTTTAATTAAAATTAATTTTTAAATCAATCTTAGATTTAAAAAAATTCGTTGTGTGATAGAAGCAAGTCTCAATTAAGATAAAAACTAATTATGTAAATTTTATTTAGCTTCTGGGAAAGAGGGGAGGAGATGCATAAACGATACCTCCTAATAATTATTCCATGCATTTTATTCAATGTAAATGTTGATTTTGTTTAAATGAATTTAATTTTAAATTCTTAATTCTTAATTATTAATTATGGAATCAATCCTTAGGGGTAAAATTAAAACTAATGCATATCCCCAAACTCTCATTGCAAACTGTCTTCATATAGGCCTAAATATCTCTAACTCTTCTTAGGCACCCTGAACGACCAGACTGGTTAATATACATATTTTTGGAGAGAGGAATGATGAGGGAGATGAATTGGATTTTCATTAACTCTTCTTTAAAAATTATTTTTAAAATTTATTTAAAAAAATGTTCAGAACAATTCAAATTTTTAACTGGTGATTGCAATAAAAAATATTTAAAAGAAAATCTCTCTATATTTTAACATTTATTGCAAGAAATTTTTTTAAAATTTTCTTTATAATTCCCTCATTCACAACTTCATTTATTTACCAATAACCTCAGAAATCTTTTTGAGAAAAATATTTTTCTTCGGCCCATTTTCTTTTAAATCAAAGAGAATTTTTGTTCGAAGTTCGTTAACTGTTTTTTGATAAATGTTGCTAAAAAGGAAAACATTAGATTTCTAAAGGATCAGGTATTAATTAATAATATAATGCTGGAAGACTTACTCATCAATCATCATTTTATTTAAAGCATTTTGGAAGTCAACCCCAAAAACTTCACTGTCCACTTCATTCTCATCAGATATATTCACTTTTACATAAATTCCAATCCCAAAATGTTCAACAAGGGAAGAATTGTAAAACTGATCGCCCATACATGGAATACAAATTAAAGGAACACCGGCATATATTGCCTAAAATTAGTTAAAATGACGGTTTCAATTCTTATTTTGGAATACATTGACGCGGAGTGTACATAACTAGTCTTGGGTTTTCTCTCGCGCATTTAATCTCAGCGCAATTTTTTACAAGAAAAACATGAGTTCAGGTGTGTTCATGAGCCGAAGTATAGCCAAAGTCGTCTTTAAAATAGAAATAAAAGAGATAGTATGAGCGAAAATAGATTTTTTAAATTGCGTTTTTGTAACGTATTCATAATTGAAAAATATTTCCAATGTTCTTAAAGTTACCTAAACTTTTTGTATTATTATTCTTGATTGAAGTCCGGTAAATTATAGTGTAGACTTTGTATGGATGTGATAATCGCGGACGAAAATTCACCACAAAGAAACAAATTTAAGTTAAATAAAATTTTGTAGCAAATTTTATGGGCTTTAAAATAGTCATGAAAAAAAATATATAATACAATATTTTTTTAATCAGATCAACCCCAAATCACCCCATTTTCCGTTGATTTTGAATCTCGACATCTTAATTATGGGGGTGAGTTAGAAGTCAGAATTTTTTCCATTCTTCAACAAATTGATAGGGAAGATCCCATGAATTTTTTCAGATTTTTCCTACAATGGTTTTCCACGAAAAAAATAGACTCCTTTTTTCCCTAAGTAAATTTCCGCGCAGTTTTAAAGTAGGTTATCTTTTATAAATTTTCCTGGTCAAATAGAAAGTTTTCTCGGGACAAGTTTATAATCATTTTATGGGTAATTAATAGGGCTACAATAATACACAAAAATAAAGAAGGCCGAAGAAAATATTTTTTGAGTAAGACTTGAAAAACCGTGAAAAAATTTTTTCCCTAAGTAAATTTCCGCCACTGTATATACAATTTATTTGCTCATTCGAAAAGGCTCGTCGAGCTGAGTACATAGACTAAGTATATATACTGTTTTTGAGCTGCTATGGAGGGTAGGCCGGGCTACGGTCGAGTTAAGAGTTATCGAGAAGAGTTATCGATAGAGTCAAAAGGTATTGAGATTCTGACATAAAATAAATATTTTAAAATAACCGACCCGGATTAAAAAATCGCTATCGGTATTTACTATAAAATTTTTTATTGTTAACACCTTCTCACATAAAATTGTGGTTTATGACCCAGACAAAGATAAAAAGCTCGTCGACCTGAGCTGAATGGCATAAAAATCAACCCGCGGTCACATATATGGGCCGAGATACATGCTCTTGAAAATTGAAAAACCATAGGGGCCAATTTTAGAAACCATAGGGGCCAAGCCATAGGGGGCAAGCTATATTTTAGAAGCCAGAGAAAACGGCTAAAATTCTTGTATGTATTTAAAAAATGTAGCAAACCTTTTTGCTTTAAAAACGACCCTCGTACCTACAAAATTGAATATATTTTTTAGTATGTACTTAGGCTAGAATATCGCTCATGAACACATCGTATATTATACATATCTGTCGTATGTAATAAAATGTGAAATGAGCATTTTAAAAAAAATAATAAAATATTATATGTATAGAAATAGCCATAGCGATTTTTTTATCCCGAGTCGGTACCGGGATCGGTAATTTTTAAATTTTATCTTGATGAATTTACCTCATTATCCTCGGCTTTAACCTTTTCTTGAATCAAAATTTTATTTTGCTCAACAAGAAGCCCTCCAATGAAAATAATTTTTTCTGAGACAGGGAATTCTTTGAAGTTTGCAAGGTAATGTTGATTAACAAAATGAAGTTTAATTTTTTTGAATAAGAATTCTATAGAAGAAGGCGGAGGTTTAAGATCTATCAAAGGAGAAAATTGAAAGAAACACCCAGTAGCTTAGTCTGTAGAACACCAGGGGCCTATTCCATGAAGTAACATTGACTTCAAATGTCAATCCAGAAATGTCAACTAACACAAACTAGCGGTAACAAAATAAAGACAAAACTCTGAGTGCTTTTAGGTTATTTTATAAGTGACACATTTTATCGACACTCAGTTTCTCTTTTTCTCTCTGCCTTTCTTTATCGTCACTTCCTTATTATTTCTAACTAATTGTCAATATCGCTTCATTGAACCTAATACAAATGAGCTCGATCAGTCTGATCTTCATCCCATTTGTCACCAATAAAATACCTGGAATATTGTATAAAGTAACATCAATTCCAAGATATTGAAGATATCCTGGAAAAAATGGCGTAGCAAAAACATTAAAAGTATTTTCAATTCCTAAAGCCTCAAAAACAGCAAAAGGGCCAACAATAAAATTAAATTCGGCAATTCCAAAAGAATATTTTTGTTTGCTTAGCCAGTCATAAACTTCAACCATTTCCTCTCCAATTTTGACTTGTTTGTTTGAAATTATTTCTTTGATGATTAAAATGGATATTAAATTTTCATATACTATATTTAATTACCTTCATAAATTCCTATATAAAATTTTATATTATAACTTTGAAATTCATTAAAAGCTTCTGAAAGACCTTCTTTTTTTATTATATTTTTATCCAATTTATTTTCACTTATCGGAACATTAATAATTAAATTAACATTCTTCGGGTCTACAGGATATCCACCTACACTTCGTGTATAAACTACTACATCCTGCAAATAAAATTTAAATAAATGGAATCATTGATAAAGAAATCGTCAACAGAATTAAGTAAAAAAATTTAAAAATATCTTCGTTAAGAGTATCACATTTATTTCCTTCGTTAGAAAATATTTTGGGGTTAGGGTCGTTTTGGCGCCGGGCCGTTTTGGCGCGAGAACAAAAAAGTGGCACTTAGGCAAGACCTAACTTCATAAAAATTTTTTCAAATCTCTATAACATCCTTGACTACCTGCTCCAGAAATTTCGTAATTTTTTATCAAATATTTCTGAAGTTATAGTCGATGAACCTCGAAAAATTAGGCATTTTTCAAAAAATCAACATTTTTGGCCACAACTTCCGAAATTCTTGATCAAAAATTCTGAAATTTTTGGAGAACCTAGATAAAGGTTTATTATTGCAAAATTTTATCATTTTTGATAACGAACTCGCTATCCTAAAACTCGCGCCAAAACGGCCCAGTCCCAATATTTTGAGGAATATAGTGAAAATTGAGGAAGAAAAAAATCTGACCATTATGTAAAATATTAGGGAAGAAAAAATAGAAAAAAAGGGGGAACCAGGCTCGGAATTACCAATCACTGTTTTCCCAATTCAACGAAGGATGTCCGAGTTTACTCGAAACCCGATTCCTAAACCCAGAATTTCGAAACCCGTCCCAACTTTGTTCTCAACTTGTGACATCTCTTTATTCAACATATACAGGTTTCAGAACCGTCTAAATTTTAGAGAGGATGCATTTTCAATTAAAATAAGCAGAAAAAAGATTATTTGAGAGAAACTGATGAGTTTTTAATTTTAATTTTATTTTAACCGATTACATATTAAATAAAAAGTAAAATAAGTATTTAGTTACTATTTCATATTCTTCAGATAAGATGTTGGCCAATAATTTCTGAAATTTAATTAATAATTTAAAAATTTAAAGATTCTATGCTTAACAGAAACTTTTAGAAGTTTCGC